AATATGTTATAGTAGAGGGCATGAGGGGATGGCATACACATCTGTGTTCATCTGTGAAATGTATTCGCAAAGGCTTCTGGGCCCTTTGACTTCAGGAGGGGAGAACTGGGCAAGAGATGGTGGGATAAAAATGTCTTTGATAGAAGACTTTTTCAGACATTCCCCTTGGGGGTCTCCAACCATGCATACCGGGAGCACGTGGTACCTGTATCTTCCCAACACACACAGTCGCAATTTATTCTGAATAGGGCACTGCATGTAATTTCAGCATCGGTACACACTATTCAAAAGCCTGGTTCTAAGTAATGTTTACTGAAGCCGCACACAGTGCCCTGTGCAGACAAAATAGCCACCAAGCTTATTGGGAAAATTGTGGGTAGTGTGCACTTGAACTGTGCACAGTTGGATACCCTCACATGTAATGTCTGAAAAACCTTAACATGAATAGATGGGTAGGTAAGTCGGCTTGGCAACCCACTGTCAGCAGCTGCAGCCTGGCCCGGAACTGAACTTTCCATCCTGATGTATTGGGATTGAATCATTCCTGATTGAATCACCCCAGAGACTGGCTGAGCTTGGAGCACAAGAATAATAGCCTGTCAGGATTCTGAAAGTAACCAATCTAGTAGTAATGTTATGTAAATAGCCTATCACTGGGAGTGGGGTGTGTTTGGGTGTGGCAACTGCATGCTATTTAACAGAGCTGAGGCTCAAGAGTCTTGTCTTGTGCTTGCTGAAATCTCCCTTATATATAAAAGCCGAATGGTGGTGGCACTTCTCTAGAACATTCCACACGCTCCGGAATTGGTTGGTGCCCTGGTGTGTCACTCATAATCTGTCCCTATCCACTGGCTGCATTGCTTGAGTCTTGCCTCCAACATTCTAAACAGTTTGCTGTTCCTCTCCCCCCCATAGCCAGTCAGAACACAGAGGTTATTTGCATATGCAGCCTCATTGGCCTTTGCCTCGGAACACAGAGGTCGTTTGCATATGCGACTTGATTGGCTTTTGCCTCCAACATTCTAAACAGTTTGCTGTTCTGAGGCAAAATGAGTCCAATCTCCAGGTGAGGGCTGGAGATCACTCAGAATTACAACTGCTTTCCAGATGGCAGAGATCAGTTCCCCTGGAGAAAATGGTGAGCTCTGTATCCTTATATGCTACTGCGGTGGCCCCCGTATGACAGCCAATGTGACGTAGCAGTCAGGGCTTCAGAGCATGGGAGAGGCTGCAGGTGTGTGGGGGTGGAAAGCTGAAGAGTGAGGGAGAAATAAAGGTAGGTTGATGATTGGCTGGGAAGGAGATAGGGTTGCCAACTCCAGGTGGGAAATTCCTGGAGATGTGAGGGATGGAGAGAGGGTGGGGTTTCAGGAGGCATGGGACCTCGGACAGGTACAAAGCCACCCTCCAAGCCACCCTCCAAACCAACCATTCCCTTCTGGGGAACCATCATTGCCAATCTCCAGGTGAGGGCTAGAGATCACTCAAAATTACAAGTGTTCTTTAGGTAGCAGAGATCAGTTCCTCTGGAGAAAATGGTGGACTCAGTGTCATTATACCCTGCTGAGGTTGCCACAGCAAATTGACACTGAGTGTCCAAGGCCGGGGCACCCGCCCAGAGCCTCTTTCTAGAGCTCGTTGTATTTATTTCCACAACAGGCCTTTTTCTTAGTCACTAATAAAGGCCCCTGCCACACAGGCAGGAAACTGCAGAGGAGAAGTGTGGCTGTTTGCCCCGGGGCAAACTAACATGCAGTAAAGCGATCAGACCTACTGTGGAGGTTCTGTGGAGGTACTGTGGAGGTTCCATGGCAAGGGAGAGGTGCCGATCACAACACACGCCTGCGCGCAATGAAGAAGCGCGCGGCGCGGCGAACTGGTTTTCTTTTTTTGTGTACACTACGAATGCGCATGCTCCGTTGGGTGCGTGTGCGCATCCACGGAGACGTGGGGGGAAAAAAACCCTTTTCCGCAAGGGGACATGGGCGGGCACCGGATACCACCGGAAACGCGATCAGACGCCCGCCCTTGCCCCGCAGTTTCTGGAAACTAGTACCTCCAAGGTACTAGTTTTTTGCTGCGCTTTTTCGGCAGGAAGCCTCAGTTGTGCCACGGAAGCACTACGCTTCCCAGATGTGCTGGTGAGATCGCGACTGGAAACTCCGCTTGTCTTCCGTATCTCTTGCGTGGCTAATGTTGCGTGTGACCGCAGCCAAAGTAGAACTGATCACTAGGCTTGTGGTCTGCTCATCCATGGAACCCACTATTTAACACATCCCATGGGCTCCCTGGAAGACTGCGTTGCATGGAAAGAGACTCACGGAATCTGCACAGAAGCGACAGGGTGGTGGGGTTGGATCTCATTTAAAGGAGAGGGAAAGGCAATGAATTTTATGTCGCCGTGCAGAACATCTCAAGACATGACAGACACTCTGGAGATCACAACTTTAGAAGTATTTGCCCAGCACGTTATTTGGCTTCGATAATAGTTGATACAGTTGCAAGTGTAGACATGTGCATCAGGGAAGAGGAACGGTGTTTCGCTCTGACTGATGCCTGAGGGGGGAGTGAAAAGCATTTGCGCTTTTCCCTCCCTCGTATCTTAAATTTCCTTGCTTCATTCCTGTGGCTGGTGCCATGTACTTGTGATACTTATTATAACCAACTGGAACTTGCCTACCTGCATATTTGCGAAGCTTAAACAGTAAAAGGTGGGTCAGAATAGACACCTGAAATGTTATCCTTTTTCATACTTCCAACAATCCTTATTTACTGTAGACAGTCCCCGCTTTCTTAGGTGTCTCCCTGGCAAATCTGTTTCCAGGGACAGGCCCTCAGATCGTTCTGACCTTTCAAGGGTATGCTCCGTTGCTTCTTTTCACAGGCTTTTTTCTGTGGTGGCTCCCATTTTATGAAATAGCCTCCCAGAGGAAATTAGACTATCATCTTTCTTACGGTTTAGGAGGGCTTCTAAAATAGAACTGATTAGAGGAGATTTTACCCCCTTCAAATGATTGTTCTGTGAGTGTTTTGAGAGACAGCAATCTTGGTTGAAGTTTATTTTTTAATCTTTTTCCTGCTGGCTCCAGGGGTCATTTCGTAGAAAAAGAGCTAGGGGAACTCATTAGCATAACTCATTAGCATATGCCACACCCCCTGACATCACCAGAAGTTGTTCATAAGGCCACACCCCCTGACATCACCAGAAGTTGTTCATAAGGCCACACCCCCTGACATCACCAGAAGTTGTTCATAAGGCCACACCCCCTGACATCACCAGAAGTTGTTCATAAGGCCACACCCCCTGACATCACCAGAAGTTGTTCATAAGGCCACACCCCCTGACATCACCAGAAGTTGTTCATAAGGCCACACCCCCTGACATCACCAGAAGTTGTTCATAAGGCCACACCCCCTGACATCAAAATGACCTTTGGCTGGCTCTTTAAATTCTATGGGCTTTTTATATTGTGTTTTTAAAAATGATTTCACTGTTGTTGCCTGCCTTGGGTTGCAGTTATCTGGGAGGAAGATGGGCTAACGTTTTAAATCAGTCGCTGTCCCTCTCATATTTCCCCTCCAGGAACATCTGATAACTTCTTGCATGTGCAGATTATTGAGCTCATGGACCCCATAGGTCCAGGGCAACAACCCTGTGTATGCGGACCGCCACCAGAGGTCCGCGGCTAAAGCAGGAGCTTGGTCCCCAAACACAAAGGGGACCTAGGATCCTAGTCCACCTCGAGCCCACCAATAGAACCTTGGCGGGAAATTCAAACCCTCCAATGGAATATAGGGGTGCCAGGTGGGAGTGTATATAGTTGGCCTTGCAGGGCCGTTTTAGTTAGTCTTGTGAAGTACAATAAACGTGTCTGAACGCACGTCATAGTCCGAGTTCTCCATGCATCGAACTCAGTACTTTTCACCTGTGTTACAGTCAGATGTGAATTCCTCAATTTCTGCATGCTGTCAGTTCCAATCATAACTGCAGCACATGTGACAAAGGAGTTCCAGCTTCCCGCACCATGCCATGACCCCCAACCTGAAATAGATAGACCCAGGAGGGCAGTATTCGGCCTACTGAAGAAACTTGCAGGTTTTCCCAATAGGCTTCATAATGTGCCCCCTCCCAAGCGGCTTTAGTTGCAGGGTTGTAGGCTGATTCTCTTGCCCATATGTGCTACATTTCCAGTCCAAGCCAGGCACCCTGCACATAGGAAATGACATGGAGGGTATTAAGTATTGAGACGAGGCAACTCTTTTCATAATAACATGCTTCTTTATTGAACTTCCGAACCAAAGACACAGGCTCAAGAGGAGCCAATTTATACTTCTAAAAACCACACCCACCTTAAACAACGACCAATACCAAGTAAGCAGCTACGATCGTTCATTTGCATGAACTATATACATATAACTATTAACAGTGCAGCTATTGGGTAATAAGCAACAAACATGATTGGCCATTACCGGCAATACAACCAATAGTCTTGAAGGCCTTTGGAACCTTTGCTGAGACCCAAGCTCCATCAGTACATAATTGGGGGGGGGGGACCCTTGGACCCAACCTGTGTATTCCATAATGTATAAATTGGCAGAGCACAGTACAGAGGAGAAAGAATAAGGCTGCACCATTTTGGTCCTTTTAGTTGCTTGGAGGAGAAGAAGAAGCCAGGTGCTTGTAATGGCTGTTGGAGCCTGCAGCTGCTACAGTCCCCTAGAGTCCCTCTCATTCACGTGCTCTATGTGAACCGGGCCAATTCTCCATTTTGTAGATAAATCTGTGTTCTATAATACAAGCTACCCAACTGCATTAAGAAGCCAGCAGGCAGCATCCAAAGGAAAGTGGCCGAAACGCCGGAGAAAAATGTCAAATGAGAGCAGCAGCTGCCCTCTGTTTGTTTGCTATTCTCCAGTGCCTCTACCTGGTGAGCTCACGATGGCATAGTAACAGGCTCTTTCTCTCTCTCTCTCTCTCTCTCTCTCTCTTAACATTTCAGATTTTTATTGCCCTTGGAGAATTTCTTTTATCTTTAAACTGGGCCATTGTGACTGACATACTCTTGGTAAGTTTAGTTGTTTTTCACTGCCATATTGATTTCGCTGCTAACTCAAGACATCTATTCTTGGATTTCCATTCTTCAGAGATGAGAGGAAGTATCTGTTTGGTCCCTTTGGCAAGAGGAACTAAGGTTATATCAAGGAAACAGAAAGGAGGATTGAACATTGTCAGATTAACATGAAAGAGCAAAACCTTGGCCCCGAATGTGACATTTTGGATTTCAATAAATCGGTTTTTTAAAATTAAAAATAGATCCCAAGTTGCTCAGGTTTGTCGATTATACCCAAACTGTCAGCCATGAGACTTAGTGTGTTGTAGGGGTTAGAGTGTCAAATTCAACTGTTCGGTGTAGTGGTTAAGTGCGCAGACTCTAATCTGGGAGAACCAGGTTTGATTCCCCTCTCCTCCACTTGCACCTGCTGGATGACCTTGGGCAAGCCGTAGTTCTGATAAGAGTTGTTCTTGAAAAAGAACAGTTTCTGTCAGAGCTCTCTCAGCCCCACCGACCTCACAGGGTGTCTGTTGTGGGGAGGGGAAGGGAAAGAAGTTTGTAAGCCACTCTGAGACTCCCTTGGGTAGTGAAGGGCGGGGTATAAATCCAATCTCTTCTCTTCAACTGCAAGACCCAGGTTAGAATTCCTACTTTGCTAGGGAAAATCATGGAGCCCGTCTCTCTCTTTCTCAGGCTAACCTGCCTCACAGGATGGTATTAAGTGGATAAAGCCTACAGGGTTGGATAGGGTAGAAATCCCAAAATAAATAAAAATAAATAATATGGGGGAGGGCAGAAATGATGTTGTAAGTTGCTTTGGGTCCCTATCGGGGAGAAAAGCAGGGCACACATATTTAAATAAACAAAATCCTGTCTCCTCTGCACCCATTGGCCAGACCACAGGAAGCTGGGAGGCGGGTTGGGTGGAACTGAACGACTGAGCGGAATGTGCTGCCAGTAGGTATATCTACATATTCATTTTTATTAATTTATAAAGTTGATATACCATTTTCCAACACAGGTGTTCTGAAATTACATCCATGACTTAAAAGCACTCGATTAAAACACTGTCAAAAACTTTGCTGATAGATTTATTGGCTGGAACCCTCAGGTGAACACACAAAGCTGCCTTATACTGAATCAGGACAAATGTGGACAGTCATGACCTGATCAGAGAACAAATGTCATGAAAACAGTCGTGAGAGTCTGAGCCACAGATCAAGCAGTTGACAAGACTTGCAAAGAAAATGCTTTCTCTATATTATGATCAAAAGCACCACAACACAATACAATAAACGAATTCCTTCAAATCATAAGAAAATCCTAGTGTAAAAATACATCATCAACGTCGTCTCCGAATTATATAACAACATTTCAAAAGTGGATCGTCCTCAGGAAATATTAGAGTAGTACAAAAGCTCTCTTGCTCATAAAGTGCTTTACAAAAAGTCATGAAAGATAATACATTCAGATAGGACGCTGATCTCAATAAGTATTAAGGCTCAAATATGCTGCTAAGATTCTAATGGATCCCAGGCGTCTCACTTATTGAGATCAGCGTCCTGTCTGAATGTATTAACTTTCATGACGTTTTGTAAAGCACTTTATGAGCAAGAGAGCTTTTGTACTACTCTAATATTTCCTGAGGACGATCCACTTTTGAAATGTTGTTATATAATTCGGAGACGACGTTGATGATGTATTTTTACACTAGGATTTTCTTATGATTTGAAGGAATTTGTTTATTGTATTGCGTTGTAGTGCTTTTGTCCATAATATACAGACAATATTTCCTTTGCAAGTGTTGTTGACTGCTTGATCTGTGGGTCAGACTCTCACAACTGTTTTCTTTACATTTATACTGAATCAGACCATTGGTCCTATCAAGGTCAGACTGGCAGTGGCTTTCAAGAGTCTCAGGCAGAGGTCTTTCACATCACCTACTACCAGAGCATTTTTAAACTGGGGATGCAAGGGATAGAACCTGGAACCTCCTGCAAGCCAAACAGACGCTCTACCATTGAGGTGGGCTGTGGAGCTCCACCTTCTGGGTCATGAGCTCTTCTACAGACACTATATGTTTTTTCTGCTATCTCTTGAGGTGATCTTGATGATAGTCCACATGCACAGAGAGTAAGGGGCAACATGACAGCTGCCCCCCTTTGCATGTGCACTGCCAGCAGTGGCAGGACAATGATGCAAGATCACCATCTGGTGGAAAGGATTCTTTTTAGCACAGGCAGCTTCAGACACTCTGACTTACCCTCCTCCGATCATGTAGCTCTGGGAACATGGATGCTAGCTTCTCAGGAGAGAGAGGGGTCATCTCCTAGTATTAAGGCTCAGAGGTCCTCATCCCAAGGGTTTTCCAATGCTCAGGATTTATTCATGTTGGAAGAGTGGAATGTGCTGTTACAGAGTTACACAGAGCAAAATGGCAACTTGGGGGGCAGAAAGTTAGTTCAAAGATCGTTCAGACCAGACACTCTTAGCCTTACAACAGAGATGGATGGATGGATGAATGGATGGATGGATGGATGGATATCCGGATAGATAGACAAACTATGAACATTCCTTCCTGTTTACTCTTCTACTTCTGTCCCTTTGATATGTAGACTGATAGTTTTAGGGAATTGCTTCCTTCCCTCTGCCTACCCTTTCTCTCCCACACACAACGGAGGAGCATGTTTACTCTCCATCTATGGCACCATGGATGCAATCTCGATCTGCATCCATCCAGGTAGTTAGAATAGATTCTATTCCTATCTCTCATCTATCCTATCTAGAATGGATTTCAGTAAAATGAAGAACTCTTTATTGGTCTTGAAACTGACAAGTGGCTCTGTGTATCTCTGTAACTTCGCTAGCACATGCAGAACCAAGAAGCTCTGCTGTATGTAGTCTGTTGTGCACTTTGCTAAATAAGATGGGGATTACTGGTTTACTATACCAGTGAATCTAACAGTTCAGGGCTTGTGTCAAATGCAATTGCAACTGATGCTGTCAGACCCTCATCTTCCATGTATGTGCTGCTCAGGGTGTGTTGGGGGGGCATGTGTGTCATAACAAACCTCAGGATATTTTCGGTCTTACACTTTTACAGTATGTGGTGAAACCCGAACGCCAGTCAACAGCGATGTCGCTGCAACTTTGTGTCAGCCATTTGCTGGGGGACGCTGGAAGCCCATATCTCATTGGCATTGTGAGTTTCGAGAGGGATCTAGTTCTGGGCGAGATCAGGCGGGAACTGTGCAATGCCACTTCAGTTTAACCAGAATATAGGGACTTGCACAGGGAATGGATATACAATGTGCTGGATTTTATCAGCTATTTCAACTGCTGCTTTGTAAACAGTACGGCTCAATACACAAATGGCTTTCCTGAATCCAACCAAGGCCCATCTACATCAGTGGTCTTCAGCCCGTGGACCCTCTCAGTTAGGTCACAGAGCCCCACGTGCTGGGTGGTGAGACCCTCTAGAGATGCAGAGTAGCAGGTTGCTGAGATATGGTCACTGCGACGTGGCTAGGATTCCTCCATGGTCCTGACCAGGGCTATTTTTGGGCAGGAACGCACAGGAACGGAGTTCCGGCTGGCTCCCAAGTTGGCCACACCCAGCAGGAACTCATTAGCATAATAGGCCACACCCAACAGCAGAAACTCATTAGGATTGCCTACATTAGGGGTGTGTGGCCTAACATGCAAAGGAGTCCCTGCTACAAAACAGGCCCTGGGTTTTGACAACAAACAAGGTAAACAGAATACCAAGCAAACGGTGGGTGTGGCTGGATGACCACACTTCTGGTAATGTGGGGGTGCGTCCTAATGTGCTAATGAGCTGTGCTGGTAGGGGTGTGGCATAATATGCTAATGGGTTTCTGGTGTTGGGTGTGGCCTAATATGCTGATGAGTTCCTGCTGGGCTTTTTCTACAAAAAGAGCCCTGGTCCTGACACTTGGCTTGTTTCACACTGTGGTATTCCTCCTGATGCCCAGCTTCCATTTCCAATCTTGGTTTATGATGATAATGATGATTTCTGAATCACCCATCCCTGCTACTGCAGGGCTCTTAGCGATGTACAACAATGAATAAAAATATTACTGTAAAAATAAATACATTCATACCAGTAGATCAATTAAAACTCCAAATGGCGAACTAAAAGCCGGGCTGTTGATGGGTCTCCCTAGATGGGAGCACATCCAGCCTGTGCTGAGGACACTGCACTGGCTGCCAATAGCATACCGAGTCCGCTTCAAGGTGCTGGTTCTTTCCTTTAAAGCCCTATATGGCCGGGGTCCAACATACCTACGAGGCTACCTTTCCCCGTATATACCCCAGAGAACGCTACAGTCTGGGTCTCAAAATCGGTTGACCCTCCCTGGCCCAAGGGAGGCTAGGCTAGCTGCTACTAGGGCCGGGGCCTTTTCGGTGGTGGCCCCAGCCTGGTGGAACAAGCTCCCAGAGGAGATCAGGGCCCTGCGGGACCTTTCACAGTTCCGCAGGGCCTGTAAGATGGAGCTCTTCCGCCAGGCATATAATTACGGGCCACCGCCACAGTGCACGGCCCACAAAGTCATAATCGAGCAGCTGCCATAAGAGTTGATGAGCAGAATAACATCTAAGCACTTTTATGCTGGAAGCTGGAAATCCATCTGAAGGCATTCCTTCTGATTGCATTTTCATCGCCGCCAGCACTTTGTAACGTATTATTTTTAACTGTTAAGTTTTAATTTGTATTATGTATGGTTTTATCATGTTTATGTTATTGGAAGCCACCCTGAGACTGCTTTGCGGGGAGGGCGGGGTATAAATTTGACGATAAAATAAATAAATAAATAAATAAATAATATTCCCCCCATTCCGGACTGCCCGGCCACCTCGTGGGAAGAGGAGGAGCGGGGGGAGCATAAAAGGGTGCCGGCTAGAGTGGAAACTGTTTACTGCCTACAGAACTGACCTGGACACCAATGAGGTCACCAGTGTCTCCTCCTCCTCCTGTTATGTGACTTGGACAGCCATGTGCTTGCAGCTCCGTTGGTCCCAGGTCCAGGAAGGTTAAAGACTACTAGCGTCCACAGCCCTGACCCGGGTGGCCCAGGCTAGCCCGATATTGTCGGATCTTGGAAATTAAAGAAGGCTGGTCCTGGTTAGTGCTTGGTTTGGGAGGCCATCCAGGAAGCCATGCAGAGGAAGCCAATGGCAAAGCACCTCTGTGAGTCTCTTGCCTCGCAAACCCTGCAGGGTCACCTTAAGTCAGCTGTGACACGAGGGCATTTTTCACGCACACAACCTAAGTAGCTGGTAAAGTGACTGAGTCCTTTGGAGGTTCCCGCTTTCCAGCAACACAGTAGACTCTCAAGGGTTATTTATTTATTTATTTTTACATTTGTATCCCGCCCTCCCCAGTGGGCTCAGTGGGCAAGGTCCTGCAGGGCCCGGATCTCCCCCGGGAGCTTGTTCCACCAGGTAGGGGCCACCACCGAAAAAGCCCTAGCCCTGGTCACAGCTAATATGGCATCCTTAGGGCCCGGGATGACCAATAAATTTTGGGCCCCCGACCGTAGCGCTCTTGGGGGAACATGTGGGGTAAGGCGGTTCTTCGGGTAGGCTGGACCCTGGCCATATAGGGCTTTATAGGTATCAGCACTTTGAAGCGGATCCGGTACGCTATTGGCAGCCAGTGCAGCGCTTTCAGCACAGGCTGAATATGGTCCCTCCTAGAGAGACCCATCAACAGCCTGGCTGCAGCATTCATCACTGGGTTCCAGCCCAGCTCCCATCTTTTGGTCCACCTGTGACTGAGAGCCTTGACAGGGCTGTGAATTGTTTTAATCTCCAGATCTCCGATGCAGTCCAGAAGAACCAGGCGCAGCGGTCTGCCTTGTGGTCCTTCCGAAGCCTTCAGTACAGCTTTGTCTTGTGCGCCTTTGTCAGCATCTTAGGTGGAGGCTGCTTCCTCCTGACGGCCTCCCGCATCGAAGAGGACCGCAAGAAAGCTGCAACGCCGGTTCAAGGTTACTCCTTTTTTCTGCTTCTGTTTCCCTTTGTGGAAAAAGTACATCTGTGCTACAGACTTTGGACCCGCTTACTATAGGTTTTACTGCCATGGCTCTCCCAATGCCAGTTTGGTGTTGTGGTTAAGTGTGCGGACTCTAATCTGGGAGAACCGGGTTTGATTCCCCACTCCTCCACTTGCACCTGCTAATGTGACCTTGGGTCAGTCACAAGCTCTGGCACAGCTGTCCTTGAAAAAGAGCAGTTTCTGTCAGAGCTCTCTCAGCCCCACCCACCTCACAGGGTGTCTGTTGTGGGGAGGGGAAGGGAAAGGAGTTTGTAAGCCGCTCTGAGACTCCCGAGTGAAGGGCGGGGTATAAATCCAATCTCTTCTTCTTCTTCAATGAACCATGGGGACTTTCATGTTCCGGGGCCTGAGACAATTCCTCTTATTTTCAGTTTCTTTTCTAATGCTCCTTTAAAAAAAATTATATCCAGCTTTGTATTCTAATCAGCTCATCAAATCGTTAAGAGCCAATTTGGTGTCGTGGTTAAGAGCAGCAGACTCTAAACTGGAGAACCGGGTTCGATTCCCCACTCCTCCACGTGAAGCCAGCTGGGTGACCTTGGGTCAGTCACAGTTCTCTCGGCCCCCAAAATAAACCTAGCTCGCCACACAAAGAAGTAGAGTTTCAGGCTGCCGGACAATTTTCTGATCTCCTGGCCAATGCTCCCTTTAAGTTGTTGAGTCTTATGAGCAAAAATTCTACTTTGTGAGCTACTAGTATTAAGGCTGTGAGCAAGTGATTTGGCTACTGTATAAATTAGTTTGCTCTGGAGCCCTCCTTCCTGAGCGGAGACAAAAATGTGTGAGCTGGAGGCTAAAAAACTGTGAGCTAGCTCACACTAACTCAGCTTAGAGGGAACACTGCTCCTGGCTGTACTTCACCCACTGGCCATACGATAATTACTATTATTCATCAAATCGTTCTCTCATTGTCCACTTTAACCTCACAACAAAACCTTTATGGGGTAGGATAAGAGACGGTAATGGCCCGAGCAGCATGGCAAAGGAGGGATTCAAACTCGGTTGTCCCAAGTCGTAGGCTGATTCTGCATTGACTTTTCCCTCCGTTGTTTTATGAAACCCACGTTGGAACAGACTTTCCCCTCTGCATTGCATGCTGCTGTCACTTCCTTTGACCTTCGGATTTTATTGAATCCTCCACACTGCACGCTGCTTTGGATTTATGGCCGTTCAGGGATGACTTTGCAGTCAGCACAGTGTTGCCCCGAGGTATCTGGAGGTGGCTTTGAGCTGCACTTCTTCCTCCCAGTTGAGAAAATGCAGAGCGAATGCTAGATGCGGAATGGGCCGTAGTCTGACATTCTAATGATTACGCCAAGTCAGCCTCCTGGACAGGACCAAGGACAGAGCCAGGGAAGGGCCCAAGAACAGCAAATGTGTAGGGAAACCCTGATCTAAAACTCTAAAGCACTGGTTCCCAAAGTGGGCAATACCACCCCCTGGGAGGCGCTGGAACGATCCAGGTGGGGGGTAGGAGCCTTGGGGGCAATTGGGGGGGGGGTGTTGAATAAAAATCAGGGGGCGGTGGAAGCGTAAAGAAAGAAGAATCCAGAACCTATCTAAAGCAGCCTTTTCCTGCCTTCTCCTGGTCTTCCCTGGGATCAGGGAGGGAGGTGGAGGTGGAGAAGGGTCCCCACAGCCAATCACAGCCATGCATTTGCAAATTGCAAATGCCTGTGCACCCTTGTAAGACTGGTGTTGCTGCTGGGCTATTGTGTGGCAGCTGCTGCTGGCCTCTGGCTTCAGGCCGACAACATCTTTCTTTACTTAGAACATCTTTCGCTACTGTGTGCAAATTTGTCACTGCATCTTTTTGTCCACTTCTTTAAGGTAGATTTCCAGGGGGGCGCTGAGTAAATTTTTTTTCTGAAAAGGGGGCGGCAGGCCAAATAAGTTTGGGAACCTCTGCTCTAAAGCATCCCAGTCCAATGGTTATACCAGCCTTTCCTTGAAGGCTTCCGTGTAGAGCAGCACCCACTCTTAGAAATAGCCATGACGGATCCCTTTTTTACCAGTCTTTTCTAACCTGGGGGACTCTGTTTGCAGGTATCGAGAACAAAGGCTACCTCTCGCATGAAAAGCAGCTGCACGAACTTCCTGCAGAGTAGGAGAACAGCCCTCTCCCCTTGCCAACTGGGAGAAGATGCTTGAAGACCCATACAGCCGTCTGAGCACCGACGTGTCTGTGTGGCATTTAAAATACACTCTGACTCATGCAGCGAGCCGCCATCTGCGTCTGTCAAACTGGCTGAGGAGTTTGCCAAAGAATCTGGTGCCTACAGAAGCCCAGGATGGAGAGCTGCCAAAGCAAGGAAAGATATTCACACATACAAGATACCGAGCCGTGGAAAACTATATTTTTCAACTAAGTCCCCTTGAAACGATAAGGTGGCGTCTTCTGCAGGGACTGTAAATCTGTGGGGGAGTTCACACTTTGCAAGGAGAACGATCTACATTCAACTGTGAGCTTCTCTGGCTTGAAAAAAAGATCTCAGGTAGCCTGGCAGAGAGAGGCCACAACTGGAGCCCTTGGATGGCCAGTCCAGGAAGCAAATAGTGTGCCAAAGAGACCACTGGTACCATTCACTTCACACTGTCCATCCTTTCATAAACCTCTACCGTGTCCTCCTTTCTTGGCTGTCTTTTTTCTAAGCAAAAAGAGAGAGCTATTAATACTGTCTCACCATAAGACCATAAGTGGTGCTTTGCTGGATCAGACTCGTGGTCCATACAGTCCGGCATTGTGTTTCACACAGCAGTCAAGTCCAATGCTCCCTCTAAGCTGTGGAGTCTTGTGAGCAAAAATTCTACTTTGTGAGCTACTGGCATTCTGAACAAGCAAATTTGGCGACTGCAGAAATTAGTTCACTACGGAGCCATCCTCCCTGAGCGAAGACAAAAACGTGTGAGCTGGAGGCTAAAAAAGTGTGAGCTAGCTCACACTAACTCAGCTTAGAGGGAACACTGCAGCCAACCATTTGCCCTGCAAGAAGAAGAAGAGAAGAGATTGGATTTATACCCCGCCCTTCACTACCCAGAGGAATCTCAGAGCGGCTTACAAACTCCTTTCCCTTCCCCTCCCCACAACAGACGCCCTGTGAGGTGGGTGGGGCTGAGAGAACTCTTGACACAAACTGCTCTTTTTCAAGGACAGCTGTGCCAGAGCTTGTGACTGACACAAGGTCACATCAGCAGGTGCAAGTGGAGGAGTGGGGAATCAAACCCGGTTCTCCCAGATTTGAGTCCGCGCACTTAACCACTACACCAAACTGGAAGGCCAAGAACGGGTCAGACAGGCTATGGCCTTCCCTGATGATGCCTCCTAGCACTGGCATTCAGAGGTTTGCGGCCTTTAGTCTTCATGAGTAGGAGCTACTGAAGGACCTCTCTCCTCCATTAATCTGTGTCATCCCCTGTCAAAACCATCTGTACTCAGGGCCGTAGTTCATGGCCAACATATACTTGTGCTGTTACTTTAGATGGCTTTAAAGGGACACAATTAAGTAATTATCATATGGCATTGCGTGTAGAATAGCCAGGAGATCCTAAGATTGTCTGGCAGCCAGAGGCTCTAGCTCTTTAGTGTTATACACCAGTAGGTGGTGAGCTAGCCTTGTTTTTAAGGCAAGAGCCATTTCAGAAAAGGTTTGCCATTGTTGGTATTCCTTGGAGGTCACCCTTCCAAACACTAGCCAGGGCCGTCCACACTTAGCTTAAGAACGTAAGAACATAAGAGAAGCCAATGTTGGATCAATGTTGCCCATCCAGTCCAACACTCTGTGTCACACCATGGCCAAAAATACCAGGTCCCATCAGGAGGTCCACCAGTGGGGCCAGGACACTAGAAGCCCTCCCACTGTTGCCCTCCTCCAAGCACCATGAATACAGAGCATCCCTTGCCCCAGACTGAGAGTTCCTATCTACACCTTGTGGCTAATATACGTCAGGAGACTGAGACTTGGGCTTCCCAGATCCTGCTGTAACCGCTACACCACAGTGATCTGACCCAGCAAGGCTCTTCTCCCATTCTTAAAACATGCAAGGCAGACAGTGGGATAGTAACTGAATGGGAGTTGACAGCCAAGGGCAAGCCTGCCTTGTCAACTCCATGTGGAGTAGAGGAAAGAGAAGTAAACTGGCATGCTCCATCAAAGGCCTTCCTTGATGTTGCCACCTAGTCCTGATCTTCAGAGATTTACTAACTCTGGATATGAAGGTTCCATTTAGTCATCCTGGTTTGTCACCTCCAAGAATCTATCTCATCCTTTTGCAAATGCTAGTGGCCACCAGTACACCCACTGGCAGCAAATTCCACAACTGACTCACACATTGTGTGAAGGAGGACTTCCTTTTGTGGGTCCTGAATCTGTTTCCCATCAGCTTCATTGGGTGCTCCTGAGTTCTGGTACCATGGGAGTGTGAGAAAAAGTTCTCTGGAAGGGAGGAGGCTTTGACCCCTTGATCAGTTGGGTTTCGCTTTCCTCCCCCTTTGCCTGCTCTACACAATTGTACACAGTCCTACCCATGTCGCTGGCCCTATCAGGTGGTCAGGGCATTTAAACTTTCTCCCAACTGTGGATCAAACCCAGGGGAGCCTCTTTATGTGTTGCAGAGCACACCATCTGGGTCGGGGGTTCTCCTCAATTTCCATGTGTGCAGTGCCTGATTCAGACTCTGACTGTGTCTCACTTGGAGAAGGGGCATCAGTCTTCTTCCTGAGCCATTTTCCAGACCAGAAATCGTCTGGGGAGGCACAATTCAGCCTTTTGGGGAAACCCATGAATGTACACTGGGTCTCCCCATGGGCCATATAATGGTCACCCCAGCAGGGACCATTTCAGGTTAGAAAAATGTATCATAGTCACTCACGATCTGAATTGGGGACCCATGAACATGGGAACTGAGCAGGGTTACCCATGCCTGACTGTTACACTCTGGACACAGGGTGCGGACCTCAGATCTCACCTGGGCTACCCACAATGTGTACCGAGCCCCCAAAGCAGCTTCAACATGCCTCACCGATGGTTCCCATTCTGCATAAGGCAGCTTATGTTCTGCTATTCATATCCTATTCCTGTTTTTCTCCTCCTCTGGCCATACTCACACATAACATTCCGAGCCTTCTGCTGCCCGTTCTTGGGCAGGATTAAGCCATGCCACTGACCCAGGTGAAAATCAATTTCATGCTTTCCTTCCTGCGCATCATCTCGTTATATTTACTCTTATATAGGAATGCTAGTCCATTTGCATTTAGACACCAATCTAAAACAGATCTGTTTTAATGGAAATTTTACAAATCTTCTTGTTTTGATTTTTATAACCGTTTTCCCCTGCATGTTTTGATGAGAGCTTGCGTACTCCTCTGTTTGTTTTCTGCCACTGAGGCATTGGTGGTTCCTATTGGCTGCCAGTTTTATAAACTGTAGGATGAGGTGGTTTTATGGCTGGCAGGGGTGGTCTTTATGGAAGAGTTTTGTTGACTGATTGTTTTAATTTGCATTTTTAATTTTGCCTTATCCTTTATTGTTCGCTGCCTTCAACAGATCTCCAGAGAGGTGGCATGCAGATGTCTTCAGTAGACAGGGAGAGTCATGTCAGGGCTGGTGTCAAAGACTGGGAATTCCATTCCCAGAATGCAGGTGCTACTCCCAGGGACCGTCATTCCACTCTGGGGGCTGTCATTCCAGTCCCAGTGTAGTCTATCTGGGCCAGAGACTCCTGATCAGCCGGTAACATGAGCTCTTGTTCTCCTTCTGGCTCAGAGCCAGCTGCAGCTGGCTGTTCAGTTACCAGCTCAGGGCTAGCAGGTAGCTCTTTGTCTGATAAGTCTGAGCCATCAGCACAGATTGACTTATATGACCAATGCTCCCTCTGAGCTGTGGAGTCTTGTGAGCAAAAATTCTACTTTGTGAACTACTGGCATTAAAGTTGGGAGCGAGCGATTTGGCTGCTGCATAAATTAGTTTGCTCTGGAGCCATCCTTCCTAAGGCAAGACAAAAATGGGTGAGCTGGAGGCTAAAAAACTGTGAGCTAGCTCACACTAACTCGGCTTAGAGGGAACACTGCTTACGGCAGGGGTTCAAATCCCTACACAGCTGTGGAGTTCACTGGGTTACTTGTAGCTAGTCACTCTCTTTCTCTCAGCCTGATTAGGAATGCTTTCCTGAGCTCCTTGGAGGAAGGGTAGGATAAAAATGTAATAGGAGCAAATGGGCACCTGGAAGGTCATTGGTGGTTTGCCATGTTGGGAATCCCTGGTACAGGGCAACTGAATATGTAAAGTAAATGAATGCGTGAATTAAAAAATAACTTTCTCAACATGACATATTGCATTAAAGTGACTTATAGAATTGGGGTACATGCGTGTGTGGAGTGTTCACTTATGGAGTTTTCTTTCCCATGCAACCCTCCCCCTAATATGCATAAGTGTGCGAGGAACCCTTGCTGCTAATCTGCCAACTGCAAGTATTTTTTGCTGTTCCTTGCAGAGAGTTCTGCAGGGCTACCCCTTGTCCACAAAGTCATCTTTGTATCCAGACGCCTGTTGTTGTTTTTCTTTTAAAATGAGTTCTTTTGAATTAGACGCAAACTGTGACTGAATGGTCCTGTCCCATTTCTGTGCTAAGCTGTTCGCTTGGCAATGTCCTTGACAGCTCCCCCACCCCCACCCCGCCGCCACCCACAAGGGCCCTGGCCAGTTTGTTCCAGCCAGGTAAAATCCTCCCTTTGGAAAGTTGACAAGAGATCAATCAGTCAAAAGGAAACCCAGCCATTTGCCTGTCTTCCAAACAGCTGGGGGTGCCAAAAGGCAGACGGGCAAAATGTTTTCATCACCTGCAAATGAACCAGCCTGCCTGCCTCTTCTTTTGAAGAAATCTTAGCAGGCTATGAAATGCACAGAAATGAGATATAGAACAGTATCCCGTTTTAAAAAGATAAAATATATCGCACATTAAGGACATTTTATAGAGCCTATAATTATAATACCAGTTAAGATCCTTTTGTTCAAGGACCGCTCTCCATTCCTTTGCCTGCAGAATTGAGGCTTTTTTAGTGGTGGCACCTTTGGAATGCCCTCCCCATCAAAGCCCATCAGAGACAATGTGG